GGAGCAGAAAAGGCCTTGAGTCTGTGTAAGCACTGCTCAGCAGTAACGAAAACATCCTTGTGTTATCAACACTGTTTTGGTCACACATCCAAAACATAGCACCGTACTAGCTACTATGAAAAAAATTAACTCTTTCTACAGACTAAAGCATCTCTGTGTAATCAACATTATTCTCATCCTAAATCCAAAACACAGCACTATACCAGCTGCTAGGAAGAAAATGAACTTTATCCCAGCCAAAACCAGCATGTTCTCCACCCTTTGTTCCATACCATTTATGTCATGCTCGGGTCCCACGCTATCCAATACAGCCTCATTAACTACCATCCCTCTTCCCATCCTTTCATATAATATGCAGATATCATTCCCTTAGTGTCGTGGTTTAACCCTAGCCAGCAACTAAATACCACACAGCCGCTCGCTCTGGTGGAACGGGGGAGAGAATTGGGAGAGTAAAAGTGAGAAAAGTCGTGGGTTGAGATAAAGACAGTGTAATAATTGATGTAAAATAGTAGGAGTAGTAGTAATAATAAAAGAATATAGAAAGCAAGTGATGGGTGATGCAGTTGCTCACCACCCGCCGACCAATGCCCAGCCAGTCCCCGAGCATCGATTGCTGCCCCCCGGCGAACTCCCCCCAGTTTATATACTGAGCATGACATCATATGGTACGGAATACCCCTTTGGCCAGTTTGGGTTAGCTGTCCCAGCTTCTTGTGCACCTGGCAGAGCATGGGAAGCTGAAAATCCTTGATTAGCGTAAGCACTGCTTAGCAACAACTAAAACATCAGTGTGTTATCAACATTCTTCTCATACTAAATCCAAAACACAGCACTATACCAGCTACTAGGAAGAAAATTAACTCTATCCCAGCCGCAACCAGGATACTTAGTCTGTGGACCACCCCTGTAAAATGTCTGTAAAATGTCCATAAATGTCCACAAAATGTCCGCCGAGTTCATTTAGTCCATGACTTTGGGCTCCATCTGGTGGTCACTCAGGACAGGAGAAGCGGTGTGTTGTGTGGAGTTATTGGGCACCAAGCCAGCTCAGGATGGGTCACTGCTGCACTTGCACTGCTTCTTGTAAGGCTTGTCCTCCATTTGTTCAGGTGGTTCCTGCTATAATAATTCCTATAACATGCACCTCAAATCATGGCTTACAACAATTTAAAGGTATTTCCATTATAATCTCCAGCCCTGGTCCCTTTGGGCCAGGTTGTAGGGTTTAACATTCCAAACATTCCAAAATAACTTTGCAAATCAAATTATATAAAATATAACATTCATATGTAACTTATGTATTCATAAATTACCTTTTTCATTATTCTTGGTGAATACTTTTCATCATCTGATATGATCATATGATGCCACCTTTTCCAGATTATGTAGCCCAACTCTTTGCTATCTCCTATCAGTAAGAATGTCAAGGTAAATTACTTTCACATAGATTTCAACTCGTATTATAGACATACTCTAGTATTTCTTCTTTTCCATCACACGTATTGATTGGAGAATAGGGTAGTCTCTTCTGAAGTCCTATTCAATTATCTCCTGTGTTCTTTTTAAAAAAAATAGGGTATTTCACAATTGAATATAGGAATTTGAAGAGTTGTTCTTTCAAGGCACCAATTTTTTCCCTCCTGTTATGGAATCTGCAGCAGATAAAACTTTAAAGGTTTATAATATACATTTTTTTCTCAATGGACCCTTCTTTGTAGTAATTCAGTATTGTCATTAAAAGGGGGAATGATTGATGAATTACAGTCTAGAAATTACAACTTCCTTTTAGTACTCGTTGGCTGATAAATGAACATCTTTTTGTCCCTTGAAAGCATAGTTTCTCTTCCACATATTGGTAAACACTGTAGCTACTCCAGAATTGGTATAGACGAGTGAATGCTGAGTTGTTAATGGAGCTCTGTGTTCTGCCTGAGTAATAAATTAATGATTTTATAAGTACTGTGAACAAGTAAAATGTTAGGCAAGTAGTACGTGTTTATTACTCTAATGTTATTTTACTGGCAATGCTCTCTGCTGAATTTTATTTAGTCCTGCCACTTTCCCATAGTTAGGTCATGATATATTTAGAGTTGATTTGTCCTAACCATTTTGGTAGGATGATGTTAGAATTTTGTTATCAAGTGGAACCAAGGGTACTGGGCAGATGTTGCTGTTATACAAATGCATAGGTCACATTTTGTTGAGTGCTGGAGTGTGGCATCTTTGTTTGGGAAATGACAGGTATTTACTGGTTAACTGTAGTCACTCGTACTCCACTTCTGCATAGGGTTTTCTTTCATAACTTTTCATAATGACCTCCATCTCCTTCAAAGTGCTTGTCAAAACTCTCTGCTTTGTTTTGCTTCTACTTAGATTGGTAATGGTTTGAGGGACAGCATGGATGGCCCTAGCTTCATCTGTTAATAATAATATTCCCTGATGGATTGTTGTTTTTTTTAGGCTATATCTGTATTGTGGGATACATGCTCTTTGCAGCACAGTCTCCAGGCCTGATCTATTGATTATGAAACTGGGAGGAAAGTTAGAATCTAGGTATCGTAATTTTCTCCAAGAAGTTTAACTCATTAAGGTCACTTAAAAATGTGGCATATGCATCAGCTGCATCCTTACTTGAACACAGGATGCAACTAGAGCATGCATTCAGGCTTGGGGGCTAAGAGGTGTTTCTAGGTGCTGTGATATATACACATAACGGTAACAATATAAGGCTGTGGATGAGATTTATTTGCATATATTTGTGTGACACCTTGTGCAGAAGATTGTGAATACAGCCATGTACTCTTGTAATTGATTAAATAAAATGTAAACTTTTTATACTGACAGTTGAGGAAGGATTCATGTTGCATAACGCATCTAGCCGTTAAAATTTGTTCAGGATGTTTAAGTGAACACTTGCACAAGCGTCTTGTGACTTCTGACAAACTTTCTGTTTGAATCATGCTACAGCTAACAGTGCGGTGACTGTGTTAAAGCTACTCACTCACACAGGTTTGGAGAAAAAGAGCCATTTGATAGGGATCACTTATATCTACTCTTCCAGAGTCAGAGATATTTGCCCCATTATAACATTAAAACGGTTTATTGAAGATGTTCCGAGCATGTGTAACTTTAATTATACATGTAATTGAGTTAAGGCTGAGGAGCAGAAAACCAGAGGAGAAAAATCTATTACATACTTACAGTGTATAGCCTTATCAATTTATGGCATTTTCCTGTATGTAATAAAATAACTTGGGAAATCCTACCCTTTAAGGGTGTTGTCCTTTAGTGAATCAATTTTGGTAAAGCCTGGTTTTGAGGCAAACACTGTACTGAGTATCATTAAGACCAGCAGAATCCATAGTGCTGGTGTGCCATGATCTGCATGGTCTACTGTCTAATCTATAAAGAGTTAAACAGCTCAACAGTGAAGTTACTGTTATTTTTTTGATTTTATGCTTACTTTTATTCAACTTTATTTATTTAAATAATAAGCTTTAAAAAATGTTGTCTAGGACCTAGTGCTCTGGAGGTTTGGTTGTGGACCTCTATTTTTATGTAGCATGATCCTAGACAAGTAATTCATGGGAATTATCACAGACCTCAGTAGAATTTGATTGAGAGATATATTTTGCTTAGCTAAACCTCAAGGGATTAATTAAATATAATTCTGCTGTATAATAACATGAAGGCCTCATAAATGGAAATGTTCTGTGCTACTCATGTTCTGAACATTTTTGAGACAATTGATTATTAAATGGACTGATTTGGGGAAGCTTATGTGAATGGAACTGACGGAACAGTATAAAAATAGGCTTATATAGTTTATTTCATTGTTCTCTTTCTGAAGTACCTTTTTTATGTCTTTGCGTACGTAATTATATAGCATAGCACAGAATGTCTTCCCAGAATATTGTCATTGCATATCCAATACCAGTCAAAGATGGGTTTCAGTGAGTCTGTGGTGAGTGTAAAATCCCCAGAAACAACTAAGATGTTCATGGGGGAGCAGGATCTTACTTTTAAAATCTTCTTAATGACCAATTTAAAACTTCTAACTAATCATCCTTGAAATAAGTGTTTGGGTTTTTTTAAATTTATTTAAATTTTTAACAGTTAAGCGAATTCTTTCTTCTAGGCAAGCGATGATACTTCTGATAGACTTGGTTTTGTGCTAACACATGAATGACAATGTACTACCATTCAGTTACTGTGTTTTCTTAATCTTAGGTGGTGCTTTGAACTGTGATTAGTACAATGCAGCATGAATGGCTAGCTGATGGCAAGCTGGGGAGAGAGCTGGAATTTATGGTCATGTGTATTGTTAAAAACTTAATTCTGGCATTGCTAATTCAAATTGAGATATGTTTTGTCCTGGAAAGAGGAAAACAAGGAGCAAGGAAATGAAATGACTGTCATAAGCCTCAGAAGTTCTGGTGATATATCAGTTGCCCATATGAGTCCTCCTGCTCCTGTGTATGTTGCTACCCACTGCTTGCCACCAAGCCTTTTTAAATGTTTGAGAACTGCTGTAAATTCTCCTGATACAGTTATACAACAATATAAAAGAGTACTTGGAGTGTAATTTCTGTAAAACTGTGGCACTTTGACATCTGCCGGTCTCAGTAGCGCAAATGTTACTGCTTTGCAGCTAGCAGAAATGCCAACAAATACCATTGCTTAAAAATAAATTTGTGTGAAGCTAACCTTTTTTTTAAGCTTTAGGGATAGAGGCTCTTGAACTTCATTTAATATTTCTATTTTTCAAAGATCAGATGGATATTAGCTAATTAGCTGTGGAATTTAATTATAGCTTCTTCTTAACTTTAACTTTCTTTTCTAGAGCTTCTTGTAGTGAAGAGGAAAAGGGGCAGACCAAAAGGGTCTACTAAGAAGTTTTGTGTGGATGAAGATGTGGCAGAAAATAATGCTGTTCCAAGCGAAGAAACTCTGCCTGGGACAGAAGAAGGACTGGAACTGGCTGAAGTCTCACCAGGCAGCTTGGAATGTAGAAAATGCAATCGGAAGTTCTCCAACACACGTCAGCTGAGGAAACATATATGCATTATTGTTTTAAATGAAGGAGAGGAAGAAGGAGATGGAGGTAAGAAAATATCCAACAAAAATACATGAAGCATGTTGTAAAACAGTGTGTTTCCATCCTTTAACCTGATGGGTAACAACTTGTAATCCCCAGTGTTAATTTTAAATGGAATTGAATTGTCTGCTTCTTTTAACGTAAAAAGCATGTTGAAGCAAAACTGAGAATAAAGTTAGACAAGGTATTTTTAATTTTTTTCAAAAACGTCAAAATGCTTATTGCGCTGATGATTGTCTTAAACTCCCTGAAATGCTTCTTTTGCACAAGCAACTGCTCTGTTTCTCACAAAGAGGATTACAGTTTTCCAGTGAGAAGTGGTATGGGCCACATAGGTAAGTATCACACATACTGAGGTGAGGAAGGATGATCCTATAGAGGTGTTTCTATCATGTGACCTGGGAAACCTGAATTCTGTCCTGTTCTTTTGATAGATTTAAAGACTGCTTTTCTAGATGGCTTGTTTTACTGTATAAAAAATAATGCCAAACTCCCTCTTCTATTTTACAAAACTTTATGTGAATTCAGGTTTCCCTGAATCGACCACCCCTCTAGGAAGCCTGTTTAAAAAGACAAGAGTGACTATTCATTTAGAATAGAATAGAGCAGAACAGAACAGAACGGTTGGAAGGGACCTACAACGATCATCTAGTCCAACTGCCTATTTAACTTTGCTCAAAGGTGAATGCCACCTGCATACAAAGTAATACATTTGTCCAGGTTTTGTGTTTGTGTTAAAATTAGGTTTTTGCTTTTGCTGTAATTGCTTAGCGTGATACCCTCTTGATTCTACTTGTAGGCAAAATTTGCCATTGATTTTTCTCCAGTTTTCTATTACCCTTTTGTATCCAGTCTGTCATTATGGTACACAACTAGTATGATTATTTTACTTTCAGTGAGATGTAGAATTTAACTTCTGTGGCAAAGGATAATTAAAATGGGCTTAGAATATGTTGACAGAGCACAGAAACTCTTGCTTTGATGAAGTACCTTGTTATTTTTTTACTATCATCAGTGGTAGGATTTTTCAACTATATAGTGACCTTCACTCCAGCTGTCTCACCTGTGACATCACAAGTGTCCGTGCCCTTTGCTGTTTGTATGTGCTAGGTACGATGCTAACATTTGCATTATTTTGGCAATGTTGCCTTTTCTGATGTCCTTTTAAAAAAAATCTCAGATCGGAGTATAAACTCAAATTAACTGTTCTTGACCTGTTAGCTCATTAGAGCTTCTAAATCTTATCTAGATCTGTTTTGCTACAAAACACACTGGCGGATGCTTCAAAGTAAATTGCTCAGCCTCTTCCTTCTTTAAAAAGAAAACAGCCACAATTTTGGGCGAATGGAACATTTTTTATTTATTCTCTGGCAAAAGCAAAGCAATTAAGCAAAACAAGTCATTCTTGAGCAGCAAATAACAAGGACTTCCAGTTGTTGGTGACTAGTGCAACTAGAATGTCTCCAGGCCAAAGCTTCCTACCTTGACTGCAAACTGTGAAGGTATTGTGAGCTGGTTTTGTCCTGAAGGGATAATTCTTCCCTGCAATACATCTGGGAAGTTCAGTCTTCAGCCATCTACTGATTGCTGTCCCATCACAGGAAAACTTTTCACTTCTGGCTTTACCATGTGCTTTGGGACAACTTTTCAGTTTCTGAATACGTAGATAAAAGTAGCATGTGTATTATTATTATCCTTTAAGAAAATGTGATTACACTGAGTAGCTCAAAACTTTCTGAGGAGTGGACAAGAACAATATGGTCTTTGTCTAGGATTGTTTGTCATCCTTGTGTTGCTTTACCAGCTCAGAAAACATGTTCTTTAAAATTTGAGCTGTTGAATTATTATCAGACTCAAATTTCGTTATGAAGAAGGTTTTGAGAATGATGGATGAACCTTCTAAATGTGAACAAAAAAGTCTAAAATTGAAAAGGCAAGCAAATAATGAAATTGTAAATGTACTTTTTATCTGTTCATGTAATTTCATGAGGACCTGTTCCTAATTTAAAAATAAAAATACTTGGACAAATGCACCAGGGTTTTTAGGTGTCAAAGTTGTTGACAGTCCCTGAACTAGAGGTTCAGAGGTTCACCCATATCACTGGCAACTGAAAGCTGTTAAACTCTTAATATATCCAAGTGAGTTACAAAGCTGTCTGGTTTCTAGTTGTCAATATGTTCTGTGTTAATGAGTTTAAGAGCATTATTACACAGTTTGTGAAATAGTGGTACGTTTGATTGTTTCTTAAACCTGATGCTGCTCATTTCACTGGGTGCCATCTTGGTCTATAACTGGGAAATGGTGAATAATAATGCTGTATGAACCTCTTGCATAAGGTTCATAATTTAGGAATCTTCGTATTTGCGTTAAAGATTATTCTTATCCTGTATGAGTCTTAAGTAACAGACTAACTAGACTATGTGGAAATTGTTTATGCATCTGGTCAGTCTTATCATTCTCATCAGCAACTCTGCTGTAACTGTTTTGAGATGGAGGACCAGAACTACAAGTGGTGTTCAAGACACAAGAGCATCTCTGGTTTACACCATGGCATACTTTTTTTATTTTTGTTTTCTGCTCTACTCTTTTCTTAGTGATTCCTCAGATTATGTTTGCTTTTCTGACTACTGCTAAGTATTGAACTTACGCTTTCAGGGAACTATTTAGACAGTCAGCCAGATCTTTCCTGTGTTGTAAGAGTCAATTTAGAGCACATCATTTCATCAGTATTTTTCTATATGTGCTTTGCTTTGCATTTATTGTCACTGTAGGTGGGAGTCCAAACTAGCACCTGTCTGCATGTATGTGTTTATGGTTTTCTAAGCTTCAATTATACTCAGCAAAGATCAAGTCAGAACTTCAGGGGAGCCTGTGGAGCGACATAGGCTTAGCTGAGTTGCTTGTAGGCCCCATTGACTGTATTAATTAGAGCTCTGTCTATCATGGCAATTTAGAAATGTAGCTTGTGGGTGCCTTAATCTGGTTTAATTCCAGGTTATTCTGTCACCAGTTACGGATTGTTGAGAGAGCTTTCTGTAACTTCATTGTCACCAAATGGTGTTGAATCTAAATGTAGGATACACAGATAATGGTGTCGCTGTCTCAGCACATAGTACTGCAAGTATTACACCAGGTATTTATTTTGTGTGTGTGTTTTTGTGTGTCAACAAATACTTCAATTACTTGAGCAGATGTGGTTGATACCAACATTTTCTAGAATAAACTATCTCTGAGACAAAAACTTCTGGAAATCACACTGATTTTGGTGTATATGAGAAAAGGAGTACTGAAACTTCTAATTTGATGGGATTTCTCCTTTGCTGAAATTCTTAGAGCTAGATGGAGAATTTTACTGAGGGTCTTTGAACCTTCCATAGTTACAATATCTTTCCTATTTCAGACACAGACACTTCAGAGTAAATGGCTAAAAATCATAAGGAGCTTTGACTGCAAGTTCCTCTCCCTTAATACTTGACCTCTTACTTAATACATACGGGGTGGTTTTTTCCCCACTTTTTATCCATGTCTTTCCAACTTGAAACTACTTTTATCTGTTTTTCTAATGCTTCTGTGATTTTTCTGTAGTATTTTTTTACTACTTTCTCATGTTTTTAATTTGTTGAGAAGTTTAGCACTGTATGGACATCTGACTAATAATCAAGTATGTTTTCTATGTTTTCACTTTGCACTGGGTCTGGCTGGGATGGAGTTAATTTTCTTCATAGCAGCTCATATGATGTGGTGTTTTAAATTTGTGACCAAAATAATGCTCATAACACACTAATGTTTTAGCTATTGCTAAAATATGCTAAACGTGTAAATTTTGAAAAGGTATATATTGATATTCTGTGTGATATTCTTTATTGAGAGAAACATAATATATGTATTGAGCTGAAGTTGAAATACTAGGAAAGGTTTCCAAGTAATAAAATGTTCTGCTATCTTTTATAGATTGACAAGGGAAGTGTTGAAATCCTTATCATATTGGACGTTTAAAATTACAATTAATAAATCACTATAAAACTGTGTTGAAACTGTAGTATGTATTGGTCAGAGGAATAATTAGTGGATGTAATAGGCCTCTGCTGTTCTTTGTTTCTGTGATTAGTGATCCAGATTGACCTCTCAAAGGTCAGTGTCTCATTGATCTCCCACTCTTTCAGGAGTCACCAAGCCTTACTGGTTACTGACATCCTCTGTGCATCTAATTTAATCCTTTGATGCATAATGATTGCCTTCACCTTGTGGGACCATTCACTGAAACAGCAACAAAAAAGTGTGTTAATTTTTTGCACAGAATTAAAAAATGTCCATTATGCTTACAAATCCCCCGTGTACATGCTTAGTAAATACATTTTTTTAATAGAGGGCTTATTTGCCTAAGAAAGTTGCTGTGATTTAAGCAGAGCTGTGTGTACACCTATTTCTGTTTTTATTTGGTTAAACCAAATTTACAGTTTTGGCTAGTGATTTGGATCTGGCTCGCTGGAGGTACTGCCATCCATTCCTTTTGTCCTAAGACAAAACTAGGAGAGTTGAGATTCTTCCTGAACAGCCATGTGTCTTCACTGTGTCTGCTCCCAGCCAGAAGACGGAGCTGCTTCAGCCCCCGCCGCTGGGATGGGATAGGTTTGGGGATTTTGGCTATTGCTGGATTGGATCAGTTCCCCAGCAGCTGCCTCTAAAGTCGCTTGTTTTGAGAGACAGACAACAGGTAATTATTTTAACCACTGTCCCTCTCCCACACTGCAGTATACCTGAATCTCTGGCAGATACAAGAGAGGACATTTGATGGCTGGGGAATGGAATTTGGGTGGAAGATGGATTACAACAGTGGGCAGCCCAGATTCTCTCCTCTGGAGTGAACGATTCATTCCTAGTGAAGTAGGAGCTTGCATAATTCTTAAAGGTGGCACTTCTGGCCTTAGTTTAAAATGTTTTTGCCATCAACTGGATTCTAATTTAACTGAATTCTTTCTGCGAGTAGATGTCCGTCTCTGCAGGAGAAGCAATTGCATGTGTTCATTTTGAATGGCCAGTTTACTTTTTTTTCCCAAGCTACTGTCTTGCTACTATGAAATACCAGCATCTTTTAGGGGATAAAAAAATAGTTTGAATGAAGAGTAGTTTAAAAACATGTCAATTAGGGATGTGTAGCTGTGCCTGCAAAATGTCGTACATCCAATTACGAATGCAGAGAGCAGTACCTTCAATTAACAACTCAAATAGAATCATGGGACAGATGAACAATCTAGTTCGATGGGACTCTGAAAGCAGTGATTCATTCAGAGTTGACAGTAACTTTACTCGTCAACACAGACACGACCATTCCTTAAATGTGTTAGAAGGCACAGGCACAGCATTGTATTTCTTGCACAAACAGAAGCAGGTATTTAAAATGCATGTCACTAGCTAGGGGAGGTCAGTTTATTCGTCTGTTGAATCGAAGTGCCAGCTGACAAAGTGCTAAGCTGACTTCTTAGCAAGGGAGATGCAAAGTGAGGCAGTTTGTCTAAATAAATCTGTTTAGGAGCAAGCAAAGACCCTTACCGCTTGGAGAAACTTTGCTTAGCTGTTCTAAGTTGCGTATACTCCATTTTCTCCTAAATCATCTTAAAATCACTTATGGGTGTTACTTTATAATACATCTGTATTATACAGATGAATTGTCCTAGTTGTGAGAGACAAAACATCTAATCCACAATAGTAACAGTTAAGTAAATTTTCTAGGAAGACAACTAAATTACTGATGAGATGGTCCCATATTATGGAAAGGCAGTTTGAGCCCTGTGGTCAAAGTTGAAGCTCTTGTTTGTCATTAAACCATTCTTTTGTCTCCCTCCCTATCCTTTCCTAAAGCACACCTTCTAGTTCAGGGTTTTTTGGTGTAGAGAGCGTTCAGGAAGAAAGCAGCTGTCACTGAGAGTTAAGATTTTTTTTGTTTCGATGATTTGATGGAGAGTGTTAGTTTTGGTGGGGTTTTTTTTGAAGTCTCGATCAGGTTACACACAAACTGTGAGATAGTTGTTTGAGGCAAAAGGTGTTGGCAACGTGCGCAGCTCCAGGTCCTCATCAACAAATCGCTTCTGGAAGGTACTTGTTCCTCTTGGAAAGGGGAAAAATGGGACTACTGCCATCAAGATGGATCAGATTAGTGTATAAATTTTAATGTTTAAGTATCAGAACTCCACTCTGTAGAGATGAGAGTTTGTTTCTTTTTTTTTAATGTGTCATGTGAGTGTTGAGAGTGTTCATACAAATATTTAGCACTATTTGAAGTTGTATGATTAGCAAATCAGTTGCATTTTCTCTCTTGCCTGCTTTTGGCCAATACATGCGTGAGCTTTTTTTTGTGTTAACAAAATTTGCATAGCACTCAATACCTTCCTTGCATCTTTGAAGGTACTGAATGTAGTCCTATTAGTTGCTGGACGTTCTCAGCTCATATTGAGAAGATGGAAGTTGAGATTCAGTCCTTTGTTTGAAGTACTTGCCAGCTTTGGGTTTATTAAGAAAATATTTTCAGATGGCCGTAATCTTCATGTTTAGTGCTTAGCATCAGTGTACAAGGTTTCTGTGCATATGAAATAGTGACATTTTAATACAGAAATATTTTTATTTTGCAATTCTGTGTATTATCTTAAAATCTCTTTTTAAATAGCATTCTGCAGTTCTGTTTTGAAAGCAGGGAGTCATAGTCAGCTATATTTTTCGTAACAGGTCTGTTCTTTTCCACAGCTTTTACCTTTGGTTGAACTGAAGGAACTAGCAAACTGATCTGCCTGATAGAGGCACATTAGGAAAGAAAAACAGTGTGAAACATTTGTTAGCTTGTCACTGTGGTGATAGTAGTTAGTTATTCATTAGTGTGGATCACTAACAAACTCACTCTGTGGTTTGTCCTTTTCTTCCTTTTCTGTTTTTTAGTAGAATTCCAATATTCAAAAGTTAATAGAGTAAGAGATTAACACGAAGAGACAATAAAATGGTTTTGTCTTTCGGTTTCAACCACTTTATTTCCTCATTAAACTGACTAACTCTTACTTTGTAATGGTTAGAAAGGAGGATTTAGGAGTAGGGTGCTTGGATTCTTTTCATATGCCTACTAGGAATTCATTATGTGATCCCAAGCAAAATGGAGAAAATTCTGTTGTCCTAATCACAGCTTTCCTTCCAATCTATAGTTCTGGATTTCTGTTAGCTAAAACATGCAAAAAATTACTGAGAGTTTTGTCCATAGGTATATCAAGTATTTTTTTTTTTTCCCTAAAACTATCACTAATTCTTACTATCCACTGAACAAAAGCAGATTAATTAACTAAATTAATTTTTGTATTTGTTGTTTAACAGTATGTGAAGTAGCCTCAGGGAAACACAATTTAATAAGCAGCTTTCATTCTTTGTGTATTCTGATTCTTTATGAGAAGACTTTCTTCTGTTGGTGGCCTGGTCCTGCTGTGAAATTTGTGACTACTCATGTCATTGTTGATAATAAACTAACAGAGGCTGTTTCATGAACGGAATGTGGAAAAATGTGTTTGTTTCCTCCCACCCCCGTTCATCCCACCAGAAGAAAACACTGCACAAGCAGATTCTGGTGGAAGGGGATATTTCTTTATATTCAAATATCCCTTTGAAGTATTGCAGAGAAATGTTGGTATTAGAATTATGTGGGTTCAATATCAATCAATAATCTACAACTATATTAAGGAGTTAAATGGGGACATAATGAGACCCTTTATACCTATAAAGCAGCAATATTTTCCAAAATCATAGAAATCTACAGAGAAAAAGGTAGTTGAGAAGAGGCATATATCAGGGAATTTGTCTAATGAAATTGAAGAAATCATTAGCAGACAATGAAATGCAGGGGGATCTCAAGGCAGAGCATAATTTTCTATAATCTGGAAACTGGAAGCTGGGTCAAAAACATTGCTAACCTGACTCCATAGAAAGATGGCTTGCTAACCGTGTTTGAATTCAGCTTGCTATGTGGTTGTTGCTCATTCTAGGTATTGTAAATACGAATTTCAGATTTACAGATTAGCATCAAGTCATTAACAGTTGTCAGTATACGCATTTCTGCCTCAGTATGCCTGAGAAATCTAAACTAATTCCTACATAGCTTGTTTCCCACTGGTTTTGTATCTGGTAAAGAGCTTGCAGTTTATCCAGGTGCTAGTTACTTGATCAGTCCTAACTATGATACTTTAGTTTGTGCTTGTGCGTTTCGTTTTTTTTAAGGAACAGCCAGCACTCTTTAACCCCTTGTTCCATTAAGGTAAGACCATGGGAGACAGACTTGTTTGAATCTCAGCTGAATATTAACAAAATACTACTGAAATTAAAACACAGCCATTTCCGTGTAGCATATCTTTCCACTGCTTTTGCTATTTGCATGCTATAAACAACTCTAGACACACTACAGCTTTGCTGTTACTGTTTTTTATTTATATATTGTTTCCCTATCTCAGCAGAGCAGCTACAGCACGTTATGAATATATATTGAGTGACTTATTCTGGAGATTGTGTCAGCTGCTTTATATTCAGGGAAGAAAAAAATCTGAAATTCACTGGGTTCATTTATAATTTTCTTTCTTCCATCAGTTTTTGCTTTCCTTACTCATTACCTCTGGAACGTTTGCATAATGCCTTAATTTGCCAAGATTGTTTTCTCTAGCCTGCGTTTTCTACCACTTCATCTAATACAAAGAAATTTTGTTGGTATAAACTTGCAACCCTCTCTTTTTATTCTTTATGCTGCTAATTCTTTATATATAACCTTTTCTTTTTTTCTTTTTAGAATTTCAGTAAGGAATTCCTCATTTTCTTTAAAGAAGAAATAGCTTCAAGGAACAACTTATCTGATTACTGATTATTCATTCTTATTTCAGATGAGCGTTTTGAATACAACTATCATGTTGCTTTCTAGTTAACAGGTTGAAAAGTTACCCAATTTAAGAGGCTGAAGGCATTCTGAACAGCAACAGTTAGGGGATGATTTAGAAGTGCAGGCCTTCAAAATGAAGAGTTACATGTCAGGAGTTAGGTTGAAAGAACTGTTTTGAACATAAATTATTTTTGAATCGACACTGAAAAAGAGAAGTATGTTTCTGGCTATTGATTCAGAGTAACAGTGGGGAAAAAAAGCCTAATCTAGAGAGACTATTGGAAGACTTTCCATTAAATAAGATGGATAATGAATCCGGTACTACGAGAAATAATCCTAAAGTCATCAGAACAATTACATATGGAAAGGAGAAAAACAATTTGTTCATTAATGGTGAAATCATATGAAATTCTACGAAGTTTGTAGAACTTTCATAAAAATCCACAATAATGTCAAGATAATTTAAAACCACAAGTGTTTCTGAGAGTCCATTTTTAAAATTTTTATTCTTTTCTTTATTTTGTCTATTTTCTCTATTTGTGTAAGTATCACACTAGTTTTATTAATTAGAGGGAAAAAAGCTCCCCTTTAGGAACTCATACAGCATGTCTTGTTTTGATAACATGTATTTCTTTCTACAGTAACATTAATTTTCTCCTAATTCTTTCTAGTAGTGTTAGTGACTGTGTTACCTGTATTTCTTTTGTACATAGTTACATTCTTTTTGATGTTTGCTCTTTAGGTAATGATTCTGACGTTGACCTTGACAGGAAGGAAGATGAGCGAGAAAAAACTCCAAAGAGGTCCAGAGTTCAGAAAACAGAGAAAACTCCATCAACTAAGGAGACGGAACAGGTTTCAGGAGCTAAAAATCCTATTATAAGTGTGGTTTTGACAGCCCATGAAGCTATTCCAGGTAATCAGAATCAACGATGTAATCAAATTTGGTTTTGTCCATGCTGACGCGGTATAAAATAGTCATTGGTCTAAGACTGAACTGCGTAGGATGTTTATTATCTGCAAAATATTTAGTATTATTCAGTTATCTTGATACAGAATCTCTGCATCTGGCAGCTACATCATTTTAGAACTACTGTCACATTTCTTCATAGATATGACAAATGCTGGACCTGAGTGTAATTATCTGCATTAACATCAGTTATGTTTAGTCTGTGAATAGTTTTAAAGAAGAAACTGAAAAAATCAGTGATCAAAGAAAAGGGAAGTATTTTTCCCCTGGAATATCTTTATTTCAGCTCTTGTTTTGTTTGTATATTTATGATAAATGTAAATTTGATTATGAAAACACAACTAGCTTAGTATATATAAAACTTAATATTTATGCATACAAATAGTTTGACAGAATATATGTATATATATTTGAAAATCAAGTAAAGTTTCTATATAATGATTAAAGGATTCTTCATCCATAGATTTTTATAGTGTCTTTTCATCGAAGGATTTTTGGAATAATTTCAAACTCTTTTAAAACTAGACTTGCATTTGCCTCTTTATATAAACCAGCGACTCCGCTGACTGACAGAATCCCTTTTTATAGTTTTGTGCATTATTTTCAGCTTTGTAGCTTTATTGTTCTTCTTTTCTTTATTGGTAACATTTCTGAATGTTTGTTTTGCTTATAGCTCTCAGAAGAACTAGAATGTATTTATTTGTTTTATTGTTGTGGGTTGGAAGCTAGCTGGATTTTCTGTGTTGTTCTTTAGTATCTTTTGATATCGAGATCTGATATGCTTGGACTTTGTTTGCTAAAATGCATTTCTAATGGCGATGGTAGAGGAAGCTGGATGAGCTCACCTACAAATATCCTGTGTGCTTAGAAGGGAAGTAAAAAACACCTTCAAATTCATTGTTTGAGAAACATCACACAGGGTTTTGGACTTACACTGAGCTGTTAAAAATTTGGTCTTGCAATGTTGTAAATACCAGATTTTGTATTTAGAAAAGGGAAGGTGCAAGAGGACCAGTGAGCACTGGAAGTGTGGAAACCTGGCTTCAGGGTGGTTTGAGGTCTGCACCGCTTCATTTCGTTAACTGCAGGCACCTTTCTCTTGTGTGATGTAACCCTGGGCTCTTTCCTAGATGTTGCTAAACACTTATTTCCCCACTCTGTCTCCCACCTCTTTTGCCTCTTTCCCACTGCATGTAGCTTCTCCCCCATCCTGGTGCCCATTCCCCTCACTGCCACACGTGAGGCTCCCCTCACGTCCTCTACTCCTTTGTCTGGGCAAAGGGGAACATGCGATGGCTGGTTAAGGGGCTCATGTAGATGTTAGTAAGTGGGTTCATATAGATGTTATAGATTTATACATGCACCCTCCCTTCCTCAGGGCTGTTGGGAAGAGCTGTAATTGGGGTATCCTCTCTCCAGGTGCTAAATTTTACATACCTTGTAAGAATTTTTGTCTTTGAGATCTTTACATCTCTGGCAAGGACTAGAATTTTCAAGAGGGGAAGGAAAGACATGGTAGGCAGTGCAATCAAGGACCCATTTTCTTAGGAAACTAGCCGAAAGAGGTGAATGAAATAATAGTAAATACAGATAGTGAAGAAAACGTAGTAAGCATGTGATGTGGGAGAGGAAATGAAAATCTAGAGGAGATTGGTGCCTTAATTACTGCCTAGTAAAATTTTTCTTTGGTCAACAAAAAGTTTGGGTTTTCTTTACACATACGCTTTTTGAGTGACTCAAAATATTAAAACAACTTCAACTTTGGAGCTCTCTGTGCATAGTACACGTTACATTCAAAAGGCTTCAATGAACTGAAGGGATTTATGGTCAAATGTGAACCTGCAGCTATTTTTTAAGGTTCTCTCATTTATTTGGTTGACAACTAGTAATCTTACTACGTTCAAGTTCCCAGCTAGAATACGTAGAATGAAAAAGTCATTGTTGTTAAGACATTTGTGAATGATCATCCTACTTTTCAGAATTTGGAAATTCTAGAAAATACTATATAAGTGGTTAACTCTTTGAAGATTCAGAAGAAAAATATTTCATTTACTACAATTATGTTTTACTTTATTTTTCATTGCTTTTCCTTCTATTTTTTTCATTAATTTCCATGATCTAACTATATTTTAGTGTCAGTAGCAGTTTTTAGGCTGTTCCCCTTCCTCAGTAATTACTAAAAATAGTAATACTATCTTTCATAGTATTTTATTAAATTTTTCTGGAGATTATCATGTGCTGAAGAGGTGACTTATTGCTATAGATTGCTGTTGAAGAATATAAACAGATAAAACATTTCTCCCTTCTTCCCTGCTTTCTGTGTGCTAGATCACCTGTAAAGTTAAGTTGAAAATAAAGTTTAAAAGTGCTTAAGCACTATCAAAACTTAGTCATCTTTCTGCAAGCATTAGCATTCTCTAGCCACCTGTTATCTAGCTTTAAAGATACATGGAAATATCCCTTTTCGTGTCCAGTGCAGTAAAATCCTGTTGAAGATGTCAGATAAGCATTCTGTCAATTAGAAAAATAGAGAAGGCTTTAAGAATTAGTTGTATCTTATCCACGGTATAGAGGAAGTATTCAGACGGTATGTCTCCCTTCTTAAATGAAAGACAGTTTTAGGAGTATTACGTTAACAGTTTGCTGTAATTTTGCTATATGCTATTTAGGTTTGGGACACTGTTTTATATCATGTGTTCAGTAGATTATGACTAAATTGATCTCTTCAAAATCCCTTCAAACAAACAGATCAGTTAGTTTTTCATTTCCCAGAAAGGACAGTTGGGCAACATTGATTTTTCCCCATGTTCCTTTTCTGTAATGTTTACTTGGGAGGCGTATGAAAGGTAATAGATTTACAGCTTTAGAAATTTGAAAGCTTGCATTAATTCACAGAGTAAATACAGTTTGAATAAAAGTGATAGTTTTTTTCCTGTGCAGGTGTTGAAGTACAGGCTAGAGAGGTGGGCCCGTGCGAACTTTGTAAAGTTCAACAAGGCCAAGTGCAAGGTCCTGCACCTGGGTCGGGGCAACCCCCCGTATCAATACAGGCTGGGGGATGAAGAGATAGAGAGCAGCCCTGCTGAGAAGGACTTGGGGGTACTGGTGGATGAAAAGCTGGACATGAGCTGACAATATGCGCTCGCAGCCCAGAAGGCCAACCGTGTCCTGGGCTGCATCCGAAGAAGCGTGGCCAGCAGGTCGAGGGAGGTGATTCTGCCCCTCTACTCCGCTCTGGTGAGACCCCCCCTGCAGTACTGCGTCCAGCTCTGGAGCCCTCAGCACAGGTAAGACATGGACCTGTTGGAGCGGGTCCAGAGGAGGGCCACAAAAATGATCAGGGGGATGGAACACCTCTGCTATGAAGAAAGGCTGAGAGAGTTGGGATTGTTCAGCCTGGAGAAGAGAAGGCTTCGGGGAGACCTTATTGCAGCCTTTCAGTACTTAAAGGGGGCTGACAGGAAAGATAGGGAGGGACTCTTTATCAGCGAGTGTATTGATAGGACAAGGGGTAATGGTTTTAAACTGAAAGAGGATAGATTTAGATGAGCTGTTAGGAAGAAATTTTTTACAATGAGGGTGGTGAGGCACTGGCACAGGTTGCCCAGAGAGGTGGTAGATGCCCCATCCCTGGAAGTGTTCAAGGCCAGGCTGGATGAGGGTTTGAACAACCCGGTCTCGTAGAAGGTGTCCCTGCCCATGGCATCCCATTAAGGTCCCTTCCAACCCAAACGATTCTATGATTCTACAACTGGAGGGACCCAAAGACCTTGAAGAGAGGGAGTGCTGCATTCATGAACACACGCGTCTTGTATCAGATTAAACGGAGTACGGTTTTTTGTAAGCATCGCAATTAAGAATGAGAATGAATAACTACAATTATATGCACATCTAAAAATACTTTGTTGTGAATGGCAGATACTTTTGTTCGTAGTCTGTGTTTAAGAACCAGTGAGTAAACTCTGCCAAAGATTCAATCTTCTGGTTTTTTATGTATTTTATTTCCCATGTTTAAATTCTGTAATATTATCAAGGCTTCTAAAAACAATTTATTATTCATGCTCAATTAGTTTGATTCAGGAGAGATTCTACTTTGAACATTTAAATTGTTGTTTTATATGAATCCTGTAATATTTTAAAGACTTGGCTTGTTACTAGGAGAGTTGTTTTAAATTCCTATAAAGATGGTCAATGGTAGAATTCTTGGGTTTTTTGGTAGAGCTCAAGATATACAAAAATAGCATAAAATACTTAAATTCTTGATGCTAATTATTTTTTTATTTTTAAAGGAGTTGGATTTTTTTCTCCTACAAATTCTTAATACAACGCTGTACAGGTTTTTCTCTCCCCAATTTCCACTGGGGAACCACTTTCCGTAAAAGGCCAGCTGTGTTCTGCTGCTGTAATTTATGAACACTTGGTTCCTTTTCCCATGGAGATTTTGGGAAGCGGGGAAGAAGTGGAAGAATGTCATTTTGCTTACTGTTTTGGGACTGACTTAGTTTAACTGATGACAGTCTTTTCTGTTAAACTGATAACAGTCTTTTCTGTTGAGGATGACTTTTTTTTGTAGCTCACAGAACGATGGTTGTGGGTTTATGACACATCTGAATGGATTCAATATCAGACTGTTGCCAAGGGAGCTTTCCTGCTTGTCTCTTATTCCCAGTTCACTTCCCCTTTCTTGCACTGGCACTAGTGCTTGTGTCAGCCTGCGGTAAAGAGATTCAAAAAACCGGCAAAATAAATATATGTACATGTGCACATGCACATACGCATACTCATTTTCTCTGTCAGAGAATTTTTTTTCTACCGGTTTGCTTACTGAACTGTTTCACATTGAGGCCACATAATTTTGTGGCCCAGTACCTATAGACTGCTGTCCCAGGGGCAGCGCTGTCCTCCCACCCCACCCCCTGGCCACAAATTCCTGTCCTTTGGAGCAT